TGTGTGGCTTTATGACACACTTCCGGTGATGTCAGGGGGTGTGGCCTTATGACACACTTCCAGTGATGTCAGGGGGTGTGGCATATGCTAATGAGTTATGCTAATGAGTTCCCCTAGCTCTTTTTCTATGAAACGACCCCTGCTACTAGGCTGACAAGACTTACAGTCTTCCAAAATGTGTTTTCCAAGCTCCACAAAAGCCCACCATGTCCTTCTACATTCCCTTCATTTCCCTGGTCCCCTCCCTTCTAACCAGGCCTTTAAAAAAAAAAAGAGGTGCCTGAACTCTCAAAAGAGAAATGAAGTTTTCAGTCTGTATACTGAAAACTCATGAACTTTTAAACATTTTAAAAATAATTTTGTCAAAGAGGTTGCAGAACTCTGTTCCGGTGCGTTCCCCCAGAAAAAAAGCCCTGCTTCTAACCATGGAGCATGAGATCTAGTCATGTACAAGCTGCAGAGATTCTGTGTTGAACATACTGAGCAGCTGATCAGAACCTCCAGACAGGATTTGGTAGAAGATGTGGAAGTTCCTCTCACTCTTGACATGATGCACCACCCGGGACTTCTCCAGCAGGTCTGATAATCAACAAGGAAACAAACAAAAAGAGGAAACAGGGTTGAAAAGGCCTAAGGCAAGAGTAGCCATCTGGGGGGAAAACCCTGTTGACAATGACCTCTCCACCAGGCCATGGAAGAAACTTTGACCCTCTAGCCCTTCTTTTAACTTCATCCCAAGTGTGTTTTTCAAAGACCTGGCTGTTCCTGTATTTACCGACTGCTTTTTTCCTCATGAAGAGAACCAGCTTTTGTTTAAAGACCTAGACCTAGCACCTCTTAGTGGATGTCATGTGGCCCATCCTTAATTACTTTCCACTTGGAGGCAAGATAGCTATCGTTCTGACAAATCTTTAGTGATATTTTTCACACTATGGATTTCAGCGCAATCAATTCACCAGCAATTTTAACAACAAATAAACAAAAGCACAAATCTATCCCGTCCCAAGCAGAATCCTTTTTCCTTCATAAGGGGAAAGGGATCCAGTATTCTTCTTTTTTTAAAAAAAAAAAATTGAAATTAGATATCCAGTTGTTAGAAAGCAGGAGGAGAGGTCACAGTCTGAAGAGTAAAAGAAGGGTTCTTAGCCCCCCTTCCCAACCTAGCTTTTAAAGGTGAAGGATTTGTGTCCCATGCCACCACCAAAAACATAACAAAATGCACATTTCTCCCCTGCCCCCAATTTGTTTTGGGTTTTGTTCTGTTTTGGTAGAGCCTATATTTCAGGGGTGTCAAACTCATTTGTTATGAGGGCCGGAACATAAATGAGATCTTGTGGGCTGGGCCATGTGTGACATAAAATGTAATGCCAGGTAGCGGAGATATAAACTTTATAAAGGACACAAACACAATTTTTTTAACTTAAAATAAAAACATGCTTAAAACATTAGCTCTGTAAGCTGCAACCCTACTTTTCAGTTATTGACATCCACCACAGAAATCTCATGCTCAGAGTTCTGAGTCTAGGACCCAGGTTAAAATATGAAATGGCTGAGTGATTAAGAGAGTCTGGCGAAGCAAGCTATGATGCAGCAGCAGCAGCAGCAGAACTGGAAGCAGGAGATGGCCAGTTCCACTGCGGGCCTGATGGAAGCCCTCCGGGGGCCTGATCTGGCCCCTGGGCCGCATGTTTGACACCCCTGCTCTATTTCTTGCAGCTGCCCTGGAAGAAGAAATTGTGTCTGTGCCTGTTCAATTCTGGCACCCTACTGAGGAGAAGAGGAAAAGTTGTGGGGCTGGTAGTTCATACTCACAATTGCTGATGACACCACCCAAAGGATCACCCTTGAAGTCAAACTCGATATCCATGTATTTGCCCTAGAGACAAAAGGGGGAAAGCCAAGAAGCTAGAACAGCAGTACTCACTCAGTGGCTTACAGAGAGCCACATTCATAGTCACCATCAACCAAAAGAACCATGTTTATTTCCACCCCTAGCATGAGGCCTGCACCTCAGGAGGGGGCTCACAGCTTACCTATCCAGACACCCACCAAGTAGAGTGGCAGTTTTACAAGGCAGACTATATGGCGTTTTACCCTGTTGAGGTCCCTCCTCTCCCCAAACCCCTCCCTCCCCAGGATCCACTCCCAAAATCTCCAGGTATTTCCCAATCCAGACCGGGCAGCCCTACCACCAAGTGTTTTTAGTGTTGGGATAGGCAATGTCTGAGGTATAAAGAAGAGAACAAGACACTGAAGGGGGCAGAAAGAATACAGCTAGATAGGTTAGTGAGGTCAACACCTTCTCTCCTTTCAAGTGTCATTCCTTGTCTGTCTCCTGATTGCTACTCTTAGGGCAATATCCTTTTTCTTCATGGAAGTTCCACATTTAGGGTGCGTTCAGACAGCTAATCCCACCATTATGCCGGCTCAAATTTGATCCCGATCTTTTTAATCCATCCTTGCACGACCAGACATCCCCCGGGGGAATTGCCTTACCGTGCACTGCTTCTGCTGTGGATTGTTTAGATGCGCAGTCGGGGGGTTAGTTTTTTTACTTTTTGCGCATGCGTATAGGCATGATATCGCGGCCTTGTTTATCCGTGCATGTGCAGAACAGAAAACTCCAGATTTAAAGTAGTATCTTTTTAGTACGGCTCCAAGGCGCAGCAAAACGGGATGCTCACGGAAGATGGACGTTTCCCAGATGTTGATGTCTGGACATTACATTTAAATCCATGAGGCACCCGTGCCTCGTGCGGATCTAAAGAGCCGTCTGAATGCACCCTTAGTCTTGCTTTCTCTTTCAGCTAGTGAAGTAGTTAGGACTATGTCTCTCCTCTTTACTGTCAAGTATATTAGTTCCTAAATAAACCTTTATCTTCATTTTAATCAGGTTGTGCACCATTGCTGTGTTAATTACTCTGCCAACATTTAGAAAGTGGGTGGGGCCACATGTGGCTTTTGCCCAACAGGGCTTTCAATTGCTTGTCTTGTGCAGGTTTGTAAAAACCTTGTTTTGGCAGTAGCTGCCAAAACAGCATGAGGGTCTTCACTGTGTGACTAAAAAAGCTGTGTATATGCAAGAAAATATTTTAAAGTAATGTGTTTATTTAAAAAGGCCTTCTGTTAAACACAGCATCTTCCTGAAATGTTGAAGAATTACTGTTAGAGTTACACATACCCTCCCTTCCTTATATTTTGTGGTTGGCTCTGCCACCTGTGGCAGCCATTTTGTGATTGTGCCAATCACAATGTATCAGAATTCCAAAGTGGCTTGTGAGCTCTAAAAGGTTGGGGACCCCTGAGGTACACAGCGCCTTCCCTTAATACTGCATAACCATAGCCAGACTCAAAAACATTTCAGATTACAGGAAGGGCCATCCAGGGCAAAGAGCATCACTTTCAGACAGCTCACGCCATAATTTTTCTAACATCTATGCCTGCAGAATCCATCAGTTATCCCTGCTGCTCATATACAAGAGGAACTAAAGACTTGCAGAAAAGATACTGGCAGGGATTAATGAGTGCCTTTAATTAAGGCATCCATGCTGGATGCCGTAATTAAAAAATAAACTATAACACAATTAAGAAGGTTCCAGCTAAAGCCCAATTTTATCCACAGCTGGGAAAGCTGGGGACCCTCTTAATTGTGTCACAGTTGAGAGGTCCAACGCAGTAACCCCCCTTAGCCCAAGAATCTCAGGCTGCGATCATATGCACCTTTAGATCCGACATAGGCATGAATGCCAGGCGGATTTAAAGGGAGCGATCAGATAGCAACATCTGGGAAGCATCCCGCAGCCATTGGCAACCCGTGCTGCTCTGCAGCAGAAGCGGAGTTAAAAGACACCGGGGGGGATCTGGTAGTAAACAGGTTGAGATGGGCCAGGGACAGACTTTCCCCTGTCTGGTTGCTCAAGCATGCTTTCATGCCGTTGGGATGGTCTGATCGGACCATCCCGACTCCATGTCGTTGTTCCCCCCCCTCACAGTATGCGCAACATCGTAAATTCCATAGGGAGCCCTCGTTCAAGAGCATGGGAAACAACTCCCGGTTGCATCTGATCACACAGTGAGGGGCTGTGCCCACAGCTTCAAAGAAATCTGTGATCTCGCAACTCTAGGTCCAATTCCTCCAGAGGGAATAGCCTGGCTCCCCCCCCCCAACTTCATCTGGCGCGTGTGACCGCAACCTCAGTGTAACACATCAGCTCTCTTGAAAGGCCCCAGGTAAAATCTTCATTAATGCATTTCACCCTTTTAGGGGGTAGGGAAGGGAATCCTACATTCAGGACTTTGTTTTCTGTAATGTGCGCTCATGCATGCAAGTATGGAATTTGGCATTAGGTTTTGATTAAGCAGCTGGGAAACCACAGCTTTTTGACTTGCTATAGCAAGTTTCTAACTTTTAAAGGGTATGAAAATAAATACGGGGGGGGGGAATATCCAGGAGTTACAAGGGGTTACATGCCACTTTACCCTTTATCATACAGAGCAGAAACACATAGAATTATTCAAAATAAGCATACATGTGCATTTTTAGTATCCTGATTTTCTTACAGCTTTGCAACAGCAGGCGCAAGCCCTTCAAGAGGTCCAACCAGCTCTCTCACAAAGCATTCATTCCCACCATCTCTGCATTAATACTTACAAATCTTGAGGAGTTGTCATTACGGATGGTTTTCGCATTCCCAAAGGCTGCAGAAGAAAAGGAATGAAGAGGACTGCTTAACAGTGACACATTTCTCCCAGAATGCTTTTGGTGGCTTCAGATGTTTCCTGGGCTTGGTGGAAGGAACATATAGAAACATGGGGGCTCAACAAATATAGCAGGGGTCCCCAATCTTGTTGAGACTGTGGGCACTTTTGAGATTCTTGAAAAAGGTAGTGGGCACCACCATAAGATGGCTGCTATGGGGGACAACTACAAAAGTATGGGCAGGGCTGGCTCGCTCACTAGGCAAACTTGGCGTTTGCCTAGAGTGGGCCGGCCCTTAGGGGTGCCAAACTGCACCCGGCCCCCCCACCAAAAGCCCCCCTACCCAGCACAGCCCATTCCTATGACCTGCCATCCCGTGGGAGGCTCCACCGGCAGGGGCCGTGAAAGGCGCTGGGCAGCTGGGTGAGGCAGCAGCCAGGCAAAGTGGGTCAGTCGGTGTGGAAATCCTCTGGCCACCGGCAGCAGCACCCAAGTGACGGGGGCAATGCACAGGGGGAGGGGGCGGCACACGGGGGGGCACCAGAAGGGATCCTCGCCTAGGGTGCAAAATAAGCTGGGGCCGGCCCTGAGTATGGGCAGTCCAAAGCAAAGCGTGAGGAAGGCAACTGTTTTAGAATGGATGCTTCCTGTGGACTTCAAAGTGATGCTTTTTAAAGTTTTCTAAAGCACCTCTTGAGAGGGAAGGCAGCATGGTGTAGCCCGATCTCATCAGATCTCAGAAGCTAAGCAGGGTCAGTACTGGATGGGAGACTACAAAGGAAGACTCTGTGGAGGAAGGCAAAATGGCAAACCACCTCTGCTTCTCACTTCCTTTGAAAGCCCCATGCTTGGGTCACCATAAATCAGCTACTACTTGACAGCAATTTACACACTTGAAGCATTTCCTACTCCTAGGAGGTGGAGAAAAGCCAGGACTGGCTCTTTGGCTTTGGGGGTGAAGTGTTTTGAGGAAGAAACAAGTGGGCGTCAGGAAACACACCACAGGGCACTGTGGCAGGCACAGGTGCCACGCAGGGGACCACTGAAATACACAACTGAAATATCATTCCCAAGGACTGGCTGGACTCAAAAGCCCTAGACATGACCAGGCATCCACATGTATGTCTTCACATGCCTGACTGTTCACCTGTACAGCAGGAGGGGGAAAACAGCCTTGTAACATAAGTTTTGTCTTGAGGGATAATAGCCGGATCCCTCACAAGAAACAGAAGACAAAAATACAGTTACTGTTCTTTTACAAAAGGGCCTTGATCCAGTTGTGGGCCCTATTCCTCCCCTATTCCATCCCCCAGAAAGGAGTCAGTAGACACATACCTTCCAGGACCGGGTTTGACTGCAGCAGCTGTTCCTTCACTCGGTTCACCTGTTCCCCTTTTCCACAGACTGCTGCCACATATGACATCACTAGCTTGCTGGCCTCTGATGAAGAGAAAGAATGGGGCTCAGTGGTGAAAAAATTTGCACGGGAACTGGAGGAAGGCTGGAAGTGCCTTACTCTCCCTGTGCTCCTGTTACACAAATGAAGACTTTCCTTATTTGCAGGCTGAACTGATTTAAACCACATGCACACTTGAGCCTTACTAAAAATTGCCTTGCTGATCGAAACAAGGTTTACCTAATCTGGCATTCCAACCGGGGGGGAGGGGGATAGTCAAGGCTATAACAGATCCCCATACTGAGACGCTAGCATTCAGTAATGAATTAAATGTGTATATAAAAAGATCACATGAGAAAAGATGAAGGGCAACAGTGTTAATCGGTTGCATTCTGCTCAGCCGCCCTGAGCCTGTTCGCGGGGAGGGCGGGATACAAATGGAAATAATGATGAGGATGAGGATGATGGTGGTGATGATGATGATGATGAATAGTGTGTGTGTTTTTTCCAGATAACTGAAGGCAGTTTGAAAAAACATCTGTCACTTCTCTGTAGCGTTGCCAGACTTCCCAGTTTGGCGGGGGTTACCCACTTTTTGACAAAAAAGGACTCCTGAATGCTGAAGAGACATGATAGTGTGCGTGTTTTTCCCAGAGAACTGAAGGCAGTTTGAAAGAACATCTGTCACTCTGTAGCGTTGCCAGACCTCCCAGTTTGGCGGGGGTTACCCACTTTTGGGGAGGGGTTCTACCTGCCGCCTGGCAGCTGGCCGGCGGGGGAAGCCCCACCCCTAAACCCCAACACTGGCAGCTGTGGGCTGTGCACCCGATCTCCGAGCGGCATTGCAACTCGGAAATTGGATGGGGGACCCCCTCTAGCTGTGTCCCGCTGGCTGCATGCACTTAAAGGGGTCCCTTTAAGTGCACGCAGCTAGTGGGACCTTCCCTGCAGGGGTGGGGCCTAAAGCCGGGACACCCCGTCCCCGCTGGGAACGCCCCCCCCAAAGTCCCTCGCTGGGGACCAGGCGTCATTTCCTGCAGGAGTGCACAGGAGCGGAGCTCCGGCAGTAAAGAGTCCAGGGGGTGGGCACACGCAATAAGCCTCACCCCCTGCTCCCAGCAGCCCTCAGTCAGAGCAAGAAGCAGCCAGGTATGCTGCAGAGCACCACCCCCATCCCTCCGGTCCAAAACAGTCCAGTGGCACCTTTAAGACCAAGTTTTATTCAGGTACAAGCTCTCCCTCCTCTGCGAGGACAGATCTGCACGTCCCGTCCCCCCCACACCAATAGCTAGCAATCTAAGAGGACTGGAAGCGGCGTTTCGACGGGCGGGCGGGAGCGCGATATGCTCTGTCCCCGCTCGAACTGTTTTGTCTTATTTGAGCCCCCCCCGAATGTCGGGGGGACTCGACCATCTCCCCGGAGGTGGGGGATGGTGCAGGGGGCGTTTTTCTGGCCCTCTCCCACAATTGGCAAGGTGGGGGAGGTGCCCAGAGCAGTCCCGACGCTGAGGCAAACAACAGAAGAACATGGCTACCATGTTCTCAAGAAACGACCATCCGTTGTTTTTAATTGCAGAGCTTTATTTTTTTCTCTCTTTTTTTGAATCGGAGAGATACATCACATTGAGAAAAAGAACATTGCTGATCGAATTGGAAAATTTACCTCGTTGAGAAGCAGCCCCTTACAGAAAAAATACGGCCGGAAATATACTGGGAGATTGGAGACGGAAGAGAGAGAAGCGGGGTAAGGACTAAGTTTGTTTTTGCTCGTCTTTCGCTGAACATAAGCTATACTTCAGGATTTATCCAAGTGTAAACAGAGGGGAGGTTGAGTTTGAAGAAAATGGAGGAAGAGGAGATTAATGAGGAAAGGAATGAAGACACCAAAGTATCCGACCTTACGTGGGAACAGTTCCAACACTTTTGGTTGGAGGAAGCGAAACAAGTAATTAATGCAACTTGCGAGACTGTATTGAGAAATGCCTGTGAGAATATGATGAGTAGCCTACAGAATATATCTCTAGAATGGAAAGGCATGAATGAATTATTGCAAGAAACGCGAAGAGGGGAGGAAAAAAAGGGACAAGAACAGGAGCAGGAGAGAGAGGCCTTGGAAACACAGACGCTGCTGATAAACGCAGAGACAAAAAAAAATAGATCTTCACATAAGAGTGCCAGAGAAGCAAAGAAAGCAGAGTTTGAATGCGGCAGTAACTGGAAAAGGCTCCCTAAAAACTGGCTGTTGTTTTATGCGTCATTATCCTTCCCCCCACCACCACCACCACAACCACCACCTCTCCTCCCAATAATGCTTTCTTGTACTATGACTTCCCCTTAAAGGCCCAGGCTCACTCACCTGTTTTGCCAGCTCCGCTCTCACCGGTAATAAGGACGCACTGGTCCTTATCCTGGTCCCTCAAGGAGCGGTAAGCATCATCAGCTATGGCATAGCTACACAGGGCAAAGAGGAGACATATAAGGAGGGCTGATTTCCCTCCCACCATTACCTCCCCACATTCCTTGAAGTTTTGACTCCCACAGGATCTTACTTACATGTGAGGCTTTACAGCAAAGAAGTTACAGTTCTTATACTGTTCCACCATCTCTTCTGAGTAAATGGGCAGGGGCTGATATGGGTTCACTGAGATCACCACATTCCCAATGTAAGTCTGAGGCAGAAATATTGTTATTAACAACATGTACAGAGAAGTGGGGACGTGGAATAGTATGGTCGGGGGTCATTTCCCGCAGGAGCGCACAGGAGCGGAGCTCCGGCAGTAAAGAGCCCAGGGGGCGGGCACATGCAACAAGCCCCACCCCCTGCTCCCAGCAGCCCTCAGTCAGAGCAAGAAGCAGCCAGGTAAGTTGCAGAGCCCCACCCCCCGTCCAAAACAGTCCAGTGGCACCTTTAAGACCAAGTTTTATTCAGGTACAAGCTCTCCCTCCTATGCAAGGACAGATCTGCATGTTCCCCTCCCCCCAATAGCTAGCAATCCAAAACAGTCCAGTGGAGCCTGAGCGGCGGGTGTTGCCCTCTGACACACTTCCGGTGATGGCAGGGTGTGTGGCATATGCAAATAAGTTATGCTAATGAGTTATGCTAATGACACCTCCTGCACCTCTTTTTCTACGAAATGACCCCCGAGCACAATCTAAGCAGGGTCAATACTTGAAGGGGGGGACCA